CTATAAACCCTTTTAAAAATTTTTATTTATTGATTTTAGAGAGAGAGGAGGGAGGAGACAGACAGACAGACACATCGATTTGTTCCACTTATTTATGTATTCATTGGTTGCTTCTTGTGTGTGTCCTGACTGGGGATTGAACTCGCAACCTTGGCATATCAGGACAATGCTCTAACCAACCGAGCTACCCAGCCAGCTCTCCCTAAATTTTTAAAAAACTTTTTATTTATTGATTTTAGAGAGAGAGGAGGGAGGAGACAGACAGACAGACACATCGATTTGTTCCACTTATTTATGTATTCATTGGTTGCTTCTTGTGTGTGTCCTGACTGGGGATTGAACTCGCAACCTTGGCATATCAGGACAATGCTCTAACCAACCGAGCTACCCAGCCAGCTCTCCCTAAATTTTTAAAAAACATAGTTATTTTTTAAAATAAAAAATGTATTTATGTTAACATGTAATGGTTTTTTATTTTAAAATGAAAAAAATAAATTTTCTCAGTTTTAATTTCTAGTATGGAAAAATTAGATATAATTTACATAAACAAAGATCTTTGGGGTTCTCCACAATTTTAAGAGTGTAAATTAGAACCACTGGTCCGGTTCTTCAGTGGATTGGAAGAGAATTGTAGGCCCCTAATCTCTTGGGAAGAGGAAGTCCTTATGCGTCCATTCTACCTTTCAGGCTCTTCCTTTTTTGTCTGTTCTCATCTTCTGTGTTCCTCATCTTCAAATGCTTTGACAGCCTCTACTTTCTTCTATACCATTCTATAAATGTGATCTTCATTGATTATGAATTCTTTCTCTTCTCTATATTATTTGTTGATTTCCTAACAATCTTACCTTTTCCCCCTCTATATCTGTTGTTCTGTCATAGCTCTTCGCTTTTCCTTTCATTTTTAACTCCCACAAGTTGTTTGTTTGCCCTTCACAATATCTTACTCCTTGATTTGTTCCTTAACATTCTAACACTTCTACTTCCTTTTATTTCTGATATTTACACTCAACTTTGTTCTCTAATTAATCCATTTAATAAACATTAAGCACATATATTACATATTCCCTTGATTGTCTCCAGGGTACAGAAACAAGATGTGATTCCTGTTCTCCCAGAGCTAATAGGCTACCCATGATGGTCATTTAGGATAAAGCTGAGGGCAGTTATAAGATAATTTGTCCGGGGTCCTATGTTATCCCCCTGGGGGTAGCCTTGAGAGGATCACAGAAGTCAATACTAGCAGTAGCAACCATTTATTGCATGTCTACTGTATATCAGGCACTTTACTTCTATTATCTTATTTAGTTCTCATAGCAACTCTGCAAATTAGACATGTTTAGCCCCATTCTACAGATGGAAAAACCAAGATTCATAGAGGATAAGTAACTTGCTCATAGCTATATAGTTAGGAAGTGTTAGTACTAAGATTTCTTTTTCTGTTCAGTTACATCAGCCAAGAAGGAACGGTATTCTGGCCAGGAAATTATATGGAGGGATGAAATGCCAGAGCATAGCAGCTAAGCTGGGGCAGCCACGTAGGGATCTTGTCCCAAGAGCTTTGTTGCCCCTGAGATTAGAACTGGAAGACTACAACTGATTGGAAAGGGGAATACCCAGGGGGTAGAGATGCTAGAAAAGGACATCATATTTGCTTAATGTTGCTAAATGACTGCCTATTGCTTACCTGGGAGTAACACATGCCAGAGTACCCGCTAACTTGTCTGTCATTTCTTTGGCAGAGTGACGTCAGAATCAAGTTTGAGCACAACGGGGAGAGGCGGTAAGTCTGCTTTCTGATTAGTGGTTGTGTCCCTGGAGTGATTCTTGTGGGGTCACTGGCTGGACAATGGGGTTGACTGGACATAAAGGGTAAAGTTTCACCCTTGGCTTGGCCTACCAGTTGAACTTTATTTCTAGTCTACATGGAAGCCACTTAAACTGATGTTTTACTCTCCTGCTCTTATTCTGCTACTGTGAGATCTGCCAGTTTACGAGGGGAGGAAGTCAAGACTTCAGCCCTTCTCAGAGTCATAACTTCCAGACACTCTGACACTGTACCACTTACAATGCATTAGAGGGAGTTTAGGGTTCTCCTGTGATGTGCCATTACCTTCCCTGATAGAGTGGCCCTAATTTTGTCCATGTCAGAGGCCAGGGTGATGAATTGGAAATTTTTTATAACGTCTAGGTCATGGGAAGCTCCACCAAGTCCCTCAGATGTGAAGGAGTTCAGATCATTTGAGAACAAAGAAAGAGGGAGTTTTTCAGTCTATATTCCCTTACCTTGTTAGGGAAGTGAAAGTAATATTACAAAACCCTGATGTCCTTTTCTCCATTGTCAGTATTTAGTTTTTGGGGTTTTTTTTTTTGTTGTTTTTTTGTTTTGTTTGTTTTTTTGGGAGGGGTTTGGTAGGAAGTTAAGGTAGATGTTCTTAGTGAAGAAAAATATGACCACTTAATTTCGCATGTTATTTAAAGAAAAACTTCTAAAAGCCATAGAGAACTCTGGTCACAGGATATTTGGGACCCTGTGTGTATGTATGTGCATAAGTGTGCCTTTTAGATCTGTCTCCCACTCTTTGCCTTTCTTTCATTGATATCCCCCATTTTTCTTTGCTCCCAGCATTTGGAGAGGCGAAGAGGATACTACTGATAAGTATAAGGTCCCCCTACTTTACAAGTCCCTCCAGAGACCTTAGTTTCTCCAGACAATCTTAGTATTGGCACCTCTCTGCTGCTGGCAGTTTTCAGTCCACTTTGAAGCTAGCTCCATAGGATATTTGTGGCTATAGCTCTTCCTTAAAAAGATACATCTACAAGCCCACAAAGTTGTCAGAGCCTGCCTGGTGGAAACATTTTGCAAAGAGTGGTCTGCAGTGCCATAATCTTACTGCTGCCATGTGGGTACTAGGGCTCTTCCAGGCCTGGAAGGAGGAAGGCCTTCTGATCCCTGTCACCAGCTGCTCCTCTTGTGTCTTGCCAGTAGCTGGGAAGTTAAATTGTCACTTCATTATTGCTGCTTTTCACACTTCTAACCTGACTTTTGGAAGCATGGCCAGACTTGCAGCCCAGAGTTTTCAGTAGATATGAAATCAAAAGCTCAATTGTGTTGGAGCCTAATTATGCAGTTATGCTCTCCTGAATTCCTGTTCCCAAAGTGGTATGCAGTTACAGTGAGCAGACTTACACTGAGAACGTGTATGTGTTTAGTTTCAGAGAGGCTGCCAGATCGAAACCACAAATATTTAAGGTGGTCAGGCAGGAATGGTCTTTTGAAGCCATGAGCAGCAGAGCATTGGTATCAAGGTTTTGAAAACTGCATTCTCTTTTTATGGAGCTGTTTTCAGGAGCCATGGCATTTCACTGTTTGTGTACTATGTGTGGAACTGAGGACTTTATAAAGTTGGTGCAAAGAAGCCAAGTTCAAGGTGCTTTGTGCCAGACAGCTCTGGTTTTGTGTATTTCATGTCTTAGGATTTTGTAGAGAATGTTATTGTGGGCTTTCTTTACTTTTTACAGGGAATATAGATAGTATCTATCTAAATAGTCCCTTACAGAATTAAAATTTATAGAAAAAAAGAAGTAGTGGCTTTTTCCATTCATCTGTGCCAAGTATCCATTCGGGAGAACTGACGTCCCCTTTGCTTTGGAAGTTTGGGACCCAAACTCCTGACCTTTCTCCCTCTTAACCCCAAGAGGGCAGAAGAGAAGGCCTGTAGATTAGGATCTCCTTCCCTTTGAAAACCTTCATGTCTGGATACTGGTGAGATGATTGTTATGGGTGTTTGATCCCTCTTTGAAACACTGGCCTAAAAATGCTTTTTATTCACTGGGTGGGCAGCAGTTTAGATCTTACCAACTCTGGAAGTCCTGGTTTCTGATCCTGACCAGGCTTTTGGGCTGCTCTTGGGGGTTTTGAATGGCTTGTCTCCAGGGCAAATGCAGGAGAATTTATCTCTGAGCCATCCTTTTCTCATAGTGTGCTAGGGACATTTGAGTGGTCTTCTGATATTTTATTCAAAAAGGCTGGCCCCTTTTGAACTGCTGCTGAGGTCCTAATGAAGGGGCAGGGGTATGATTTATGATTAGGAATTTACAGGAGTCATTCTCTCAGGCTCCAAGAAACACTCATCTAGGTAACCCATCTCTAGATAGCACCCAACAGTATCATTGCTTGGGACAGATGATTTAAGGGGAAAAATATAAAGATTACAATATGGTTGGATTTCCTGGTGGATATAGACTAATATATTCAGCAATATAACTTCCAACATTAAAGAAGTTAATCTGGTTAGATTTCATTAAAATCCAATAGCATAGATTCCTCTTTCCTGTGTCTTGTTGCTGCTTCTGTTCATACCTCTTCCCCCTCTGGGGAAGCAGGAAAGATGCGAAAGAACAACACACTGCTTTCTCTCAGCATGGAGGAAGGCAAGAACTGTAGAGGTTCCATGGCTGAGTACTTTACTCCACTACATGGTAGTTAGATTTCATCTAGCCTAGACCTATTAAAAGATGAAGGAAATTTTAATATGCATTTTTCCCATCACAGTAAGCTTCTTTCATGTGTTTATTAGCCATTTATAACTCTTCTTTGAATTGTCTCATCATACTTTGCCTGTTTTTTAATTGGATTTTCGACTTTTTCCTATTGATTTGGCAAGTATTTTCTCCAAGTTTGATATTTGTGTGTGTGTGAGTGTGTTAATCCTCACCTGAGAATTTTATTTTTTTTAGAATATTTTTTTATTGATTTTTAGAGAGAGTGGAAGGGAAAGGGAGAGACAGAGAGAGAGAAACATTGTTGTGAGAGATACACATCAATTGGTTGCCTCCTGCACGTGCCCCGACCAGGGCCAGGGATTGAGCCTACAACCGAGGTATCTGCCCTTGAATCAAACCCGAGATCCTTCAGTGTGGACTGACACTTTTATCTACTGAGCCAAAGTGGTTAGGGCAATATTTTTTTAAACTTTGTTGATGATTTATTTTGTCATCAGAAGTTTAAATTTTGTTGTCAAATCTGTCTTTATCCTTTTGATCTTCTGTATTTTATGTCATAATTAGGAAGTCTATCCCCATGCTAATATTTTTTAATCTATATTTTCTTTTATATGTATATATAGAAAGAGTATATATATGAGGTTCTCACTGATATTCTCATCTGCTTATCTCTTGGCTTATTTTTGTTTTAATTTAAGTTTCAGAGTATTATGTTGAATCCATATGAAATTTCCTCTTTAGGACTATCAGCAGTATCATATAGTTCATCCTAATACACTCATTAAAACTTCTTAATGAAAATTTCAAACACACACAAAAGTAGAGAGAATATTATACTGAACCTCCATGGACGTGTCACCCAGCTTCAATATTATCAACATTTTGCCAGTCTTGTTTCATCTTTTCCCACTTTTAAATTTTGCTGTGCTAGTTAAAGACAAATCATGGTAACACCTGTATAATCTTAACAAACTGTACAACTCAGTGGCTTCTAGTATATTCGCAGTTCTTACTGTATCCTCCATTATAGGAATTGTTCTTTGAACTGACCAAAGGAGTCTTTCTAGAAGAATCAATATCAACACTACTTACATGTCCACTTGTGTGGCTGGCTAATAAACTAATCAGACGTATAACCAACTCAAGGGAAATTCCTGTAACTCTATGGTAGGAAATCTCGATTCTGAGGATAATCAATATTGAGATTCCTATGACATCTCAAAAATGAGCAGTGGAAAAAATCTTTCAAGTCTGAAGTTGAGTCACTTAGGAGTTAACACCATGGTTTTAGGACTGCTGCACCAATCTCCAGGTTTTCTTCCTAACAGGAGTATTTGGAACATAGTTTTTAAATCTAGGTGTCCTGCTATGATACTGAGCTGTCATTGACAGAAAAATCTAAGCTGAAGTGGTAGAGCAGTGGGTGGGACTAAGCAAATACTTTGCTCATACTATTAGTAAACCTGAAAGATGCTTAGAGGAAGAGTGAAAAAATACCGATAGATAAGAGAAGAAAAAGAAACAATAAAGAAAAAGGCAAATTGTGTCCTAATTGAAAAAAAAAAAAAAACACAAGAAAATCATCAGAAGTCATAGCTTTCTAAATCCTACATTAAAATATGCAATTAACCATGCTTCCTATTCCTTTTCAGAATTATAGCATTCAGCCGGCCTGTGAGATATGAAGATGTGGAGCGCAAGGTGACAACAGTGTTTGGGCAGCCTCTTGATCTGCATTACATGAACAATGAGGTGAGAAAGTAGATGGATGATATGGGGACAACAGTAGGGACAGCTGCCTACCTTTTTCCTCTCTGCTTAGCTGAGGATTTCCTGGTTTGTTCTTGTAATATCATCATATGTTTTCACTTTCTGGAGCTTTTTTTCTTAATTCCAATAACTCTGGGATCTCTGGTGGGTTTTTTTGTTTGTTTTGTTTTCACTATATGGGGAGATTACATAGCTATTTTCATTTCCCTTGCTCTTTCAGTGCTGGTAGCTCTAATACTCCATGGTGGAGTCAGGTTTGGTGTCAGAGCCAGGTCTTATATTGTCTTCTTTACATTTTGGAGGTGATCTTTTTCTTTCCAGCACAGACTTAACTAGAAGCAGAGAAACTGGGAAGGGGAGAAAACTGGTGGGTAGAACCTCTATTAACAGTCATAAATGCCGGATTCTTCTCTCAGAATTTAACTCCTGATTGTAGCTTGCTTCAAAAGTTAGCACGTACTTCAACGATTTCTTTGACTCTTTCTCCTCGAGCTACCTGACCAGGGCAGGAAGGAATTTTTTTTTAATATATTTTTCTTGATTTCAGAGAGGGAGAGAGAGAGAGAGAGAAACATCAGTGATGAGAGAGAATCACTGATTGGCTGCCTCCTGCATGCCCCCTTACTGAGAATTGAGCCCACAACCCAGGAATGTGCCCTTGACTGGAATTGAACCCGAGACCCTTTAGTTTGCCGGCTGACGCTCTATCCACTGAGCCAAACCAGCTAGGGCAGGAAGGAATTCTTTTGATTGTCAGTTAGTTGGCTGCTTTCCCAGCTATAAGAAAGGTACTAGAGGCTGCAGTCTGTTTAGACTGGTGCTTTGCATTAGTATGAAAGGTAACATGTTTGTGCCTATTAAAGAGAGTATGTCTAGAGTAGTGATTTCCCACCTTTTTCAGCTCATAACATACATACAGTAATTACTAAAATTTTATTTTATTTATGTTTATATATTTGTAATAATAGTTTTATTAATATATAATTCACCTACCATAAAATTTACTCTTTCCAACCCTGCTATGTGGTCTAAATTTGTGTCCTTATTTAAGTAACAGTTTTCATCCTCTTCCAGCCTCCTTCCTCCAATATGCCTTTTCTTCTTACTTCGTTAATGTCAGACAGGATTCTATTGCTTAATTTGGAAAGAAATATGGGGACTATAGCTGTTTGGGGGCGGCCGGTGACTATAAATAACACAAGAGATCTGTTTTGAGCAGTGAAACGTTTTAAAATTGAATTGCGGTGATGGTTGCACAACTCTGTAAATTTACTAAAAATTATTGAATTGTACATGTAAAGAAAAGAAAATATCTCTATAGTTTCAATGTGATCTTTTAAGACTTTTATATGATTTCCTTTTTTTGTGTCCTGTGTCACAGCTCTCCATCCGGCTGAAGAACCAAGATGATCTTGATAAAGCAATTGACATTTTGGATAGGAGCTCAAGCATGAAAAGCCTTAGGATATTGCTGCTGCCTCAGGACAGAAATCATGTAAGTGGCCCCTATCATAGCCTGGCAGTGGGAAACAAAGCTTGCTGTCCTTCAGTTCACCTTGCTTCCTTGACAGAATTTTGTGTTCCTTAGCCACTACTAAAGTGAAAACATAAGCATGGCCACAGTGTCAGTAGCCAGCTAGCCTTCTGCATTTGATTTCACTGTGAAGCCAGATCGTCAGTGTTAAAGTTGCAACTAAAGGTTACTTCGCTTGTGATGTGGGAGGAAGGAAAACATTTTATAATAAAGGATATTTTTTTCTCTATATTTATGTCCTTTCAGTTAGATTTGGACCCTAACAAGAAAGATTTGATTAGTGTGGGGGGTGCTGATAAGCAAAGGCTACTAAGGATTCAAGACTCTCATGCTTTATAAGTCCCAGCTCCTCAGCAACTATGCCTTTCTCTTAGGACACATGTAGGAAATAAACTTTTCCTTCTCTTCTTTGGAAAAAAGGCCATTGGGCTGTAGGGCTCTTGTAACTTACTAGCTGCTGCCTTACCAAATGGCAGGCAATCAACAGGGACCGTCAGAAGTGAGGAGTTATTCTTTATGCAGTTTCCTTTCCTAAAGGGTCTCTGAGGGACTACGTTCCACAAGAATGCTTGTAAACTGGGTCTGGCTTCTAATCACGGATTCCTCTACCAGTTTTCTTCAGATGCATGTTCCCAATGGTTTCTTGGCATTCTTTCCTTCCCTTATGCTTGAAGACAGCCAACTGTAGACAGCTGACATGCTGTATGAGAGCCATGGGTGCACTATACCAGGACAGAATTTAGATGGAATGGTGCTCAAGCATCTGCAATGGTGACTTCAACTCTACTGATGGAAGTAATCTGGTTAACAAAGGGGGTGTGCAAGTTAATGAGTCGATTGTGGATCCTCATCTGAAAGTGATCCCAAGTCTTAGAACCCTCCCCACAGGGAGTTTTTCTTGTAGTGATTCTCAGAGTCTTGGTAGGCATCTGAACTGGTCCTTCCACTTTGAAATTCCTTTCTGTTGCACCTCTGATCAAATGAGCATACACCTCCAAAGGCTCTACAATGTGGCTAGTTAGATAAATTGTGATTTGGTGAATCACCGCCTCTGGTTCCACGGTGTCTTTCCGGTATTCTTAAAAGCCATGGCTGCGGCACAGCTGCCTGACCAACTTGTTCCTGGGTGAGAGTGAACAGTGGTGAGGCAGGAGTGGGAGGGACAGAGCTGCATTGTAGCTGCAACCATGTCTTCCTCCGACCATTTTTTTTAAGAGACATACGGGGTTGAACTATCCTACTAGGAGGAGACAAAGGAGAATGCAGTTAGGGAGCCTTAGAATTAAGAAGACATTTTCTGATATTTCAGACGCGTCCTTGTGCATAAAGATTGGTCTTTTCTATCCCAAGTGTGTCTTTTTTTAAAATATATTTTGGGAAGTATTCTGAAGTAAAAATACATACTTTATTATTTCATTTCTCTATTTAAATTACTCATCTCCACCTTACAATTCTTCCTTATTGCCTGTCATAGATCTACATTTAGCCTAGCTAAATGGGTTTATCACCAACTACCCTTGCTTTTAATTCCCCAGTCTCATCTTTCCACATTCTTCCTCATACTCTCCCATTCTTCAGTTCTTCTTCCTCTTTGTCAGACCATGGCCACTACCTTTTAAAGGATCTAGCCTGATATACCCCCTACAATTTGGTTAATATATTGACTGAAACCATTTTATTTATTCCCTATTAGTTTAGTCATTGGATGTAATTTGCACACCAGTTTATAGGTTGCTTAATTATTACCCTCTAGTTGTTGCATATTTGTAACTTTTACCCTATAAGAGCATACAATCTTCATAATTATAATTTATAAAAATACATAATTCCCTTGAGTTGGATGTACCATATTTAATTAAATAACCATTCGTGCTATATTGGGACACTTAAGCTGCTATTATTTTTTGCATTTGTAAAGATGTGCATTTAAGACTAACAGTGAGTGATAATGGTGGTGATAATTCCTTGGGAACTTCCTCAACTAGACTTCAAACTTCTTAATAAACAGAAGTTTGATTCGGGAATCCCACCTCTAGAACAGTGCTTCTGTAACTGTCAGTGATGCTTCTCTCTCACATCAATGTTTCTCTCTCTTTGAAAACAAAACAAAAACAGAAAAACATGTCCTCAGTGAGAATTAAAATAAATAAAGACTTTTCTAAACATGTGTGCATCTAACTCTTATCTTTCTGCTCTTGATCTTCTTACAACTTTCTAGACCCAGCTTTTAAGCTTAGCGTTCTTTTGTATTTGCATACAAAAGCATATATGTAATAAAAGTCTGCAAAGCATTGAAGAGTAGAAGTAATGAAAACAGGTTTACTCACCTAATCTCAATATGGATTAGCTCTGTGAATATTGGTGGTATATAACAAAAAGAAAAAAATAATTTATATGAGGGTTGTAAACATGGCATTCATTCAAAACATTTTTAAAGGTTTTTAGTAAATTAATGTTAAAGCTATAAATTTATTAAATAACCTGCCTAGATGTTTCTACAACTATCATAACTATACTGGTATTCATGCAAATGTCTCTTGGTGCCACAATTGAAGCAGAGCATGGTGAGATCCAGGGTGCTGTTTCTCAGCTCGTGTTCCCATGAACCTAATTTCCCCCCTGCAGAATTGAATCCACTTATTCCTTTTGTTTGACGCCACCAAATCTTGTATCAAGATTGTAGGTTAGCCGGAACCGGTTTGGCTCAGTGGATAGAGCGTCGGCCTGCGGACTGAAAGGTCCCGGGTTCGATTCTGGTCAAGGGCATGTACCAGGGTTGCGGGCACATTCCCAGTAGGAGATGTGCAGGAGGCAGCTGATCGATGTTTCTCTCTCATCGATGTTTCTGACTCTCTATCTCTCTCCCTTCCTCTCTGTAAAAAATCAATAAAATATATTAAAAAAAAAAAAGATTGTAGGTTAACTTTTATAACCTCTTTCTCTGCTGATCTTCTAGCTTCCACTCACTGCAATCTTTATGTACATGGTTCCCGGGTAATGTTGCATGTTGTTTGTGTCAGCCACATACACTGCTACCACAGAATCCTTCAGTGAAGTTTTCATTGAATGGTCAAATGTCACATTCTGTTTGCTAGCTTTAGAAAGTTCTGCTAGCTACACCCTTCACATCTGTTGACTCTCTTTTCACTCTATTATAGTTCCCATTTATTTTTCCTAGTCCCACCTTCCTTCTTCCTCTTTCCCACTTCTAGTCTTATTCAGGGTTCTCTGAATCCTTGCATCAACTTCATTTTTGTTTGCTACACCATTCTCTTTGATCTCCTTAAATTGGGGTTTTCAAACTTGACTTTTACAAACACATGGGAAGATTTGAAAAATGCCATCTTTGAGCCCCATCCTCTGAGTTGGTCTGAAGTGTCAAAAGCCCCATGGGCAATTCTGATGGGTGGCTAGGATTGAGAAGCGTTGCCTTAAATTAAAGCACGACTCACCTTCTAAGACATTGCTGCTCAAAGTATGGACCATGTGTCAGCAATATCACCCGGAAGCTTGTTAGAAATGCAGATTCTCAACCCCACCCAGACCTACTGTGTCAGAATCTATATTTTAACAAGGTCCCAAGTGATTTTGTGTACACATTCAAGTGTGAGAAGCCTTGCTTTGAAACCTTTATTAATTTCCCTTCATCTGTTTTCCAACCTGTTGCCGCAACTTCAGCCTCTTTTTTTTTTTTTTTTTAAATCTTACGCTGGCTGTTGAACCTACTTTCCTATTTCAGCTTTTTGATTTTAAAATTGAGAGTTTAGAGTATATGTTCTTTGATACATTTCTAATTCATATTGCCAAGATTTATGGAAGTCCCACTATGTGTAAGGCCCTGTGTCCAAGCAGGTGTCTTTGGGTGCTCATCATGCAGCTCTTCTGACTGCAGGGCTGGGCCCTTTGCTTGTCCTTCACTGGCCTGCTGCCTCAGTATGTGGCTTTCTGACTCTCATCAGAGATCTATTGCATGTTGGAGGCTTCAGCAAGAATATTCATGTCCCCCTGGTTCTGACTTCCCATTAGACCAATACAGTTTGTCAAGACAACTTGCATGTGAAAAGTCTGGCCTGGGGAAACTAGAGGAGGCTGCTTGGCAGTTGAACTCACCCCTGAGAACGGGAAGCCTTTTTCCTGGAGGACAGGATATAGTTTGTTTAAGTCAGATTTTTTTTCTCTGGGAGGTAAAAGACAGAGATGTAAGTAGAAACTTCGACCCAAATTATTCATAAATCCCAGCTCCCATTTCCACTCTCAGTAGTGCTCTGGATATCTGTAAGCACACCCTGACTTCACTTGCTCACCACCAAACTTCAGTTTTAAGCTTTCTCAGTGCAAGGGTCCCCCTTGATTGTTTTGTTATCTCTCTAGGGCTTGACTGGGTCAGTGCAAAAGTTGGGGGTCAATATGGTAATGCTGCTGATCCTGTTTTGAGGTCCTTGATCTCTGACAGAATAGAAATAGCCTTTCCCATATGAACACAATTCTGAGATGGTTTACATGTAAACTTCAATAATATGAAGCAACTGAGATTTTACCTTAATTTTCAGGAAATGATTATGGGAAGAAATAGCATATCAAGTTACTTTTTTTTTACATTCCTATTGCAACAATCCTAACCTCAAATACTCTTCTTAAAATATATTTTTTTATTGTTGATAGTGTGTACAGATATCTCCCATTCCCCTCCTTTACTCCCCTCCTCCCAGCCACACCCACCTTCCTCAAGTTACTTTTAAAAATACATATTTACCAACCAGAATTTTGTTGGGCAGGGAGGTTGCCATCATTCTCTATTCTGACCCCCACTCGGCAGGTGGTCTCACTGCTGAAATAATTTCCTGCTTTTCCTGCTATTCTTCCCAAGCTCTCTGGAGAATTTTATGAGAGGGTATTTACAACTCTTTTCTGTTTGGCAGATTAATAGAGGAATGCCCGTTATTCCTCCGTGTCTGGGTCATTGCCTATTAAATTGGGGCACTGGGGCTCAGTGCTCATATGTCAGTGAAGCCATAAAACTATATAGAGCAAATAGTGATTTTCCAAGACAGACTGAGGCGTGAAATTTGCAGGAAAGCTGGGTAGCTGTAGCTCATGTATTGAAAACATGAAGGCAGCTGAAAATATGTGGATTCTAGGTAAGTGTGATGGGGCTTTTCTCAGCTCACCTGCTTAAAGTCTTTTTCTTCTTATCTTGCAGACCAGTTCCTCTCCCCACTCCGGAGTGTCCAGGCAGGTACGGATCAAAGCTTCCCAGTCTGCAGGAGATATAAATACTGTCTACCAGCCCCCTGAGTCCAGAAGCAGGCACCTCTCTGTCAGTGAGTATTTCACCCCTTTTTTTCTCTCATCTAATATATCTGCCCATATTTTTAAAAATTATTAATTAAAAAACAATCAGCAAACATTATTGACTGCTACTTTGTGCAGAATAATCCTCTATGCCTTTATTTGGGAAAAAGGAATAAAAAAAAATGACTGGGATGGTATTGTGATCCTCAGGAAACTTACACTGTAATGATGTGATGGCGTAATCAAATTCCTTTTAAACATCTCTGAAAATCTGATCTCGTCAAACATCTGTGTGAAGCCCTCCAGCAGTAGTCTACCTTCATTTTTGACCATTCTTTCCCCAAAGGATTGTGGACTTGTGGAGTTCAGAATCAGGTATAAGTTTGAGTTTTGACCTCAAACCTCTTGCCTATGATTCCTGAGGAGTCCCTGTGCTTCGAGGTAGATGTTGACAAATGAAATTCTGGAAAAGCCAAACTAAGTTGTATAGGAAGGACAAGAGACTGTTGACATAGTGTATACAATTGGCTACTTAGGAAGAAAGCTGTGTAGCTGCTGCTGGGCCTCCCCAGGAAATAAATCTAAATCAGATCTGTGCATTATACCACATAACTCCATATTGCTCTGGATCCTATTTCCTAGAATCTGAGGAAAAGGACCATTTCTTGACTTCTGGGAATTTGTATCAAGGGGGAAATCTGGCCTTATCAAACATTTGTGTTGAGCCTACTGTCCTGCTGCCACTGTGAAACCAAATTCTATCCATACAGGGAGAATTGCATCAAACTAAATTGCTCTCTAAAGATCTTGAGCTGAGCTTAGGGAGGTCTGAGCATTGGTCTTGTTTCTAAGCTTGTCTGTGAGTGATAAGCCTCCTGAGGAAGTAACAAGAATATGTTGCTGAGGCACTGACTTTGACTCACTGGGTAGTTTCTTGAACTCAAACAAGCACTGGTAGTAAGTGTTGCCAAGCTGAAAGTCTGTGTATCAGTTTCATATTTCTCTAAATTATTGATAATTGGCAGCTGTGTTTTCAATAAGCTGTTGAGGAGAGAGAGCCTGCACCTGATCAAGGAGACTGTCCAGAGCATCTCTGGCCCTGGAGATTGAGCGGCTGAGAGGGCAGCATTGTTCATTTGTGGAATAAGTGGTGAGAATTGACTTGGGGCAGTGACTAGGCCTTCTTTTCCTAGGCAAGTGCCTGTGATTTGTATGTGGAAGCAGGAGCTAAATGCTGGGCCATTGTTGTAGAGAGTCATATATGAAATTCCTTGTCTGAGAATGCTGAGAAATAAGATTTCTATGAAGTAGTTCTTGTTTATCTAGAGAGTGGGCAATACAGCCTCCCAACACAGATAGATCCTGGGTTCCTTCATTCAGTAAGCATATGTACCAGCCACTGGGCTGGGATGAATGCTATAGTGAAGGCAAGTGGAAGGCTAAGGTTAGTGTGGGAGCACAGAGGAGGCAGGCAATAACCAACTCTGCCTAGGACTTTGGAGAACAGCCTTCACAGAAGAGGGAACATCAGAGCTGACACACAAAGGAAGATTTACTGAGTTTAAAGTAGAGACATATTCCAAGCACAAGAAAGACCACCTGCCAGACACAATCACAACAGAAGGTGGTGAGGTCCAAGAACCCCAGGTGGTTTGGAGGGGTAGATGTAATGAGAGTAATGGGCAGAGCCTGCCAGTCTTTCTATAAAGCTGAGAATTGGCCCTAGCTGGTTTGGCTCAGTGGATTGAGCTTCGGCCTGCGGACCAAAGGGTCCCAGGTTCGATTCCAGTCAAGGGCACATGCCCAAGTTGCAGGCTCGATCCCCAGTTGCGGGGGGGCTTGCAGGAGGCAGCCAATCAATGATTCTCTCTCATCACTGATGTT